GGCATTGAGGAGAGATCTAGAGTGAGAGATGTGCAGGAATAAAACCAAAATCATTGTACCACCAGGGGAAGAGAGAACAGTATAAGAATCCTAACTACTCTGATCTTAGGAACATGGTTCTAAGCCAGCCCTGGCTTCTCTTTAAAATTAACCAGCAGAAGGTCAGTAGTGGAGGTATGGCCCAACTGGTAGAACACCAGTGTGTGGAAGAGAGCAAGGAAAGGAGTTACACTGTCCAAAAAGAAATACACTCTTTACCTGACTTACTTAACTGAAACCCCTCTGTACATCACCTTTATAATAACAATTAAAAAAAATTAAGTATGTACATGAGGCCCTGAGTTCAAGTCCCAGTGTCCCCTTAACCTCCCCCCACCCCAATACTGACATTTGGAAGAAAGCAGAGCCAAGAGAATTTGTGGGAAATAGAACGGAGGACATTATAAAGCCTACTCAAGAGCTGGGCACTGGTGCAGTGCTCATGCTTGTAATTCTAGTACTCAGGAGGCTGAGCTGAGGATTGCAGTTCAAAGCCAGCCCGGGCATGAAAGTCTGTGAAACTCTTTATCTCCAATAAACCACCAAAAAACCAGAAGTGGAGCTGTGGCTGAAGTGGTAGAGTGCTCACCTTGAGCTGAAGAACTGAGGGACAGCGCCCATGGCCAGAGTTCAAACCCCACAACCAATCCTTCCCTCCCTCCCCCCCCAAAAAATATTTAAGCCTACTCAACTCTGAATTTCCAGTTTGTGAGCCAAATAGTATTCTTAATGTTTTAACTAGTTTGAATAGGATCTCTGTTTAGAACCTCTAGCAAATCCTAGATAACCAGTCTTCTTTGCTCCCCTTTGTTTAATTACTAATAGTTAAAAGATGGAATAAAACAGAACAGAGGGCTGGGAATTTGGCTTAGTGGTAGAGTGCCTACCTAGCATGCATGAAGCTCTGGGTTCGATTCCTCAGTACTACATAAAAAAAAAGCTGAAAGTGGCACTGTGGCTCAAGTGGTAGATTGCTAGCCTTGAGCAAAAGAAGCTCTGGGATAGTGGCTAGGTCTTGAGTTCAAGCCCCCCTAAAACAAACAAAAACCCACAAAGCAGAAAGATATCATCTCAGTGTGCAGGACAGAATTACAGAATTAAAGTGAGAAAAGAAAAAGTTTATACTCTTTAAAACATTCACTAGTTGAAGGGGCTGGGAAGGTGGCTCAGTGGTAGAGTGCTTGCCTTGCATGCCTGAGGCCCTGGGTTCGATTCCTCAGCACCACATAAGCAAAAAGAAAAAACCCAGAAGTGGCGCTGTGGCTCAAGTGGTAAAGTGCTAGCCTTGAGCTGAAGAGCTGTGGGACAGCGCCCAGGCCCAGAGTTCAGGCCCCACGACCGGACCCTCCCCCAAAAAAAGAAAAGTGATAATTTACGGGCTGGGAAGGTGGCTCAGTGGTAGAGCACTTGCCTTGCATGCATGAGGCCCTGGGTTCGATTCCTCAGCACCACATAAGCAAAAAGAAAAAAGCCGGAAGTGGCACTTTGGCTCAAGTGGTAGAGCGCTAGCCTTGAGCTGAAGAGCTAAGGGACAGTGCCCAGGCCCAGAGTTCTGGCCCCACGACTGGACCCAAAAAACAAAAACAAAAAACAAAACATTCACTAGTTGAAACCAATTCTCAGAGATGCAAGAGCAGAGACTATTCAAATTTAAGTCTATGTAAGAACTCTTGTCAAGAATGACTTTAAAGCTTGGAAACTCTTCAGTGTGAACTTTCTCCAAATTATCTTTTTTGGAAGGTTTTGGGGCCTGAACTCAGGGCTTGGGCACTGCCCCTGAGCTTTTGTGCTCAAGACTTGCATTCTGTCACTTGGAGCCACAACTCCACTTCTGGTTTTCTGGTGGTTAAATAGAGGTAAGAGTCACAGACTTTGCTACCCAGACTGGCTTTGAACCTCTGTCCTAAGATCTTAGCCTCCTGAGTAGCTAGGGTTACAGGCATGAGCCACTAGCACCCAGCCATCAAATGATCTTAAATCATATATCTAGAATTTAAGCCAAGGATAAGCAGGCTGTCCACAAAAATAGGCAACCTGAGTCTTTACTCATGGCTGCAGCCAGAAAAGCACAAGAATGAAGTTTTGTTTTTTTTTTTGCTCTTGGTCCTGGTACACTTCATCAACAGACTCTGCCAGGACAAGTCCATTATGAAAGAGAAATGTGGGCTGGGAATGTAGCTTAGTGGTATTGATTGCCTAGCATTCATAAAGCTTTGGGTTCAATTCCTTAGTACCACATAAACAGAAAAAGTCACAAGTGGCGCTGTGGCTCAAGCTCAGGGACAGTGTCTAGGCCCTGAGTTCAAGCCCCACCCACGACTGCCCCCCCCCAAAAAAAAGGCAAGGAAAGAGAAATAGGAAGTAGCAGAAACCTAGAGAAATTGACCAAGGGCTGGGAAGGTGGCTCAGTGGTAGAGCGCTTGCCTTGCATGCATGAGGCCCTGGGTTCCATTCCTCAGCACCACATAAGCAGAAAAAGCCGGAAGTGGCGCTGTGGCTCAAGTGATAGAGCGCTAGCCCTGAGCTGAAGAGCTGAGGGACAGCGCCCAGGCCCTGAGTTCAGGCCCCACAACCAAACCCCCCCCCCCCCAAAAAAAAAAAAAAGAGAGAGAGAAATTGACTAACGGAAGACTTGACCAATGTTTTCATGAAGCCAGCTGTCTTAGTCCATGTCAGCATTCTGAGACAGGAATGGCTTTTCTTAGAGCAAACCTTTACATAGTGGTCAGAGTCAGGCACAATCAGTTGTCCGTAGTAACTCCATAGGAGACAATACAGGACAGGCTTCAAGACTCCCCAGCATACTCTCTTGGAAAGAGATGAACAAAAATTCTGAGAATTTACTCAAGTAAATGCCAGTACTACTAGTCAAGAAAATCAGCTACCTTCCCTCTTCATTACCCAGAAAGAGAATGGTTATAGGCCCAAAGAGGAAAGTATTTCTTACAAGAACACACACACCAGATGAGCAAGGATGGATACCTGAAGGTCCTGGAAAGAGTCACTGAAAGGACATGATTTATCAAGATCCAGTGGAGGTGCAACCAAGGTTTCTTACCAGGCCAGAGCACCCCTCTGAGCCTGTCTCTTCTCTATTCACCAGAGCAATAAGGGAAACTCTTCATATGACAGACACCCATATTAAATTAAGCTGCAAAACAAATGTGAGGACTGTCCCTATACATATAGGTGTTTGTCACTGACTAGCACATTAGAGAAGACAGGAGCGAGGTCACTTGTTTGTCACAAAGGCTTCTATCAGCATCAGCCCTACAAGTGTATCAGGCGAGTCACATGAGAGAGAAGCCTTTCACATACAGTTTGTATGAAAAGTCCTTCAACCACAAAAACCAGCCTGTGAGCTCATAAGCCTATCCACGCAGGAGTAAAGCCTTAATACACTTCTTTGCCAGAGAAGCTATCACCAACCATCTATGGCCATCATCTCCTGAGGACTCAAACTCCAAAGTGTTCTTTCCATACCAGAAGTTTTCTCAGCTACTGTCCTGATATATAATATGTAAATATCTATGAATGTACATATATTTCTGGATCACTTATTCATTAAGAATATACCATGTAGATTACAGATTATGCTTTCTATTTCCATGCCACTAAGACTTAAGGCTGACCTGGGCTCCAGTGGCACACACCTGTCATCCTAGTTATTCAGGAGGCTGAGATTTGAAGACCTCAGTTTGAAGCTAGTTGGGGCAGAAGTCTGTGAGACTTTTATCGTCTTATCTCCAATTAATCACCAAAAAGCTGGAAGTAGCATTGTGGTTCAAGTGGTAGGTAGAGCACTAGTCTTGAGCACAAAAGCTGAGGGACAGCACAGAGACCCTGAATTGAAGCCTCCCCTACCCCCTAAGAAAGATGTAAGGCTAAAGGGCATAGAACTTGTGAGCTTTGTTCACTGAAGTTTACAGAGTACCTAGAAAGTGGTTGGTATTTCATGTCCAATCAACAACTAAATAATTTAAAAAAGAAAGGTTCAGGAAAGAGAAGAAGTGAGAAGTGGAAGGAGGGAGGATGGAAGGAAGGCACAGGGGATAGAAGGGAAAGGTAAAGAACAAGAAGAGGAGGGAATGGAAGGATGAATTTGTGGTACCTAAAGCCCAGACCATCATTCAGAATTCTTTCAGTTCTTTTCTAAGTCTCATCCAAGAAAGGACTGAGACCCAATCATTGTTCTACTTTCCTTCCAATTCAAAAGGTTTTGCATAGGTAAGGTGACTCCTACCCCTTACCCTTGTCTTCCTTCACTGTGAATCCTGATGTGCTCCTAGCATCTTCCCTGTAAGGTATGGTTGAAGGCAAATCTATGGGGTGAGAAAGACTGGGAAAGGGAGCCAGCGAGAGCCAGATACACTGGTTAGTTATGAATTAGCATTTTTCAATATAACGTGATGTGGAAAACAATTCATGTTGTAGGAAAAGATTTTTGACCTCATTTTCATATTCCCCTGTCTCATCACTTTTTGCAGCTTTTCAACTTCACTTTTCATTTTATTGGATTTACATATTTTCATATATATTTTTTTTATTTTATTATTTTTTTTTTGTCGGCCCTGGGGCTTGAACTCTGGGCTTGGGCGCTGTGCTTGCGCTTTTCAGCTCAAGGCGAGCATTCTATTGCTTGAACCACAGCGCCACTTCTGGTTTTCTAGTGGTTTAGTGGAGATCAGAGTCTCATGGACTTTCCTGCCTGGGCTGGCTTTGAACTGTGATCCTCAGATCTCAGCCTCCTGAGTAGCTAGGATTATAGACGTGAGCCACCGGCGCCCGGCTCAATATATCTTTTATCTCACTAGTCCTCCTTTTCCTTTTCTTTATACTGAAGAATGCATGTTTTTAAATTTATCATAATGTACTTTTTGTTTTGAGTCTTGAATAGAAATTATAATAGAAGAGAACTTAAAGATATATTCGTTTGTTATATTTGTTTGCTGCCTCTGTAGAGAAATAGGGTTGAAACTGCGGAGTGCAGGTCCACTGTCAGCATCTCACTACAGAAGCCCCAGTTACCCTAGCGACACCGAGGGACAGCTGCTGTTTGTACCACAAGTGAGAGTCCTGGCTCCTTTCTCATCAGCTACCAAATCTCCTTTGCCACTGCAGAAATCTCTTCATAGGAACAGTATATTGAAGAGAATGTCTGGAAGCTTCTACTTTGTAATTGTTGGCCACCATGATAATCCAGTTTTTGAAATGGAATTTTTGCCAGCTGGGAAAGCAGAATCGAAAGATGATCATCGCCATTTGAACCAGTTCATAGCTCATGCTGCTCTTGATCTTGTGGATGAAAATATGTGGCTTTCAAACAATATGTATTTGAAAACTGTGGACAAATTCAATGAGTGGTTTGTGTCAGCATTCGTCACTGCAGGGCATATGAGATTTATTATGCTTCATGATATAAAGCAAGAAGATGGAATAAAGAACTTCTTCACTGATGTCTATGATTTATACATAAAGTTTGCAATGAATCCATTTTATGAACCCAATTCTCCTATTCGATCAAGTGCATTTGACAGAAAACTTCAGTTTCTTGGGAAGAAGCACCTTTTAAGCTGAATGCAGAAAAATACTGAAAAAAAAACAATGTCATTACAATGGAGAATACTCAGGAATGTGTGTATTGTGGCTTGATCTTGATGTAACAATTCAGAAACAAATGTTAAGATTTGGTAGATTTCAATCTAAAAAGTTTTTGCAGAAGTGAGCAGGGTACTGGTGGCTCATAACTTCTAGCTACTCAAGAGGCTGAGATCTGAAGATTGAGGTTCAGGGCTAGCTCTGGAAGCAAAGTCCATGATACTCTTATCTCCAATTAAACCCCTCTCTCCCCCCCCCCCCCCCCAAAAATGGTGAAAGTAGACCATGGCTCAAGTGGAAGAGTGCTAGCCTTGAGCAAAAAAGTTCAGGGACAGCACCCAGGCCCTGAGTTCAGGCCCCAGGAGCAGATTCTGCAGAAGTGACTGAAATTGATAGCATATACTTTGACTTATTTATATACATTTGGCAATGTTATAACAGTACTACTCAAGAATCTGAAGCCAGAGCATCTGCAGTGCTAAAATGTATAATGTATGTCAGAGATTAAGAATAGTGATCTTTCTATAGTTTTAGAATTCTCGACCCATGTAGAATAGATGAACATTACAGCCCATGGGGAAGTATGTTGCCTCTGTCACCTTACATTCTTGGATTTCCTTTTCCTTAAATAGTAAACTAAGGATTAAATGAGATTCTTGATATCTGTACTTTAAAAATAATGTGATTTGAGAACTGTTATTAAAAACAAGCTTGGAGTACATTAACATTTGCATTTGGCCTTTTAGGTTATACACCAGAGTGGGGACCAGGAGGGGTCTCTTCTGTATGATCTGACTGATGGAAAAGCAAGTAATATAGCCAGACTATTTTTTTTTATATGACACGAAGAGTTTTGTTCAATATTAGTACCTTTTGAGCAAGTAAATATAAGCTTTATCTTGCATGTTTGTGTGAAGTTGGTACCATAATTTTTACCCTATATATTTGAAATCTTAAATAAAGATGTATGTCCAAAAACAAGTGCCTTCTAGTGTTTGTAACATTTAATTTTACTCACCATTTCAGTTCATTGAAGAAGTAAAATTAAGTTTTTGGAACAACGGGTTTTATACTTCTTGAAGTTACCCTAGTATATTTTTTGCGTATGTGCTTAATTTTAATTATCCCTAATTAAGGGGTATACAGCCAAAATCATAAAGCACTTATTTAGGGCTGGAAAAGGGCCTCAGTGGTAGGTAGAGTGCTTGCCTTGCATGCATGAGGCCCTGGGTTCGATCCTCAGCACCACATAAGGAGAAAAAGCCGGAAGTGGCTCTATGGTTCTAGTGGTAGAGTGCTAGCTGAAGAGCTGAGGAACAGTGCCCAGGCTCAGAGTTCAAGCCCCATGACCAACAAAATAAATTTTAAAACACTTATTTAGTGGTGAGTTGATGATAGCACTTAAGACTACAACATGGAAGGATTACAGCACTGGATTCCGTTGAAAAATATTCCTTACCTGGCTGCCATCAGCTGGTAAGAAGAAAGATCACAAAAATCTGATTTATTAATTGCCAAGCCTATAAGAGGATATATATCCATAGAGGCAGAGAAGTGGGGGGGAAGAGAGTGAAAGGAGAGCAAGCAAGCAACAAATTGGCCATGCAGGGCAAGTATGAAAGCTAAGAAATCTTGAGAACTGCAGAATATATTTGGTAAAGTGAAGACCAACAACAGCCAACAATGTAGTTTCCAGTCTTAGTCTGAAAGACTAAGAACCCAAAGAACGTCTAAAGGGAAGAAAAATTCTCCCTTACTCTGGAAGAGTCAGCCCTTTTATTGACTTCACCTGTTTGTATGCGTTCCATTTACATTAGGGAGCTTAACCTGCTTCACTCAGTCTTACTAATGACTTGTTAGTCACCTCCACAGAAACGCTAAGGATGGCACAGTCAAGTAGACAAATAAAAATAATCTCAGGAGCTGAGACCCAGAGTTCAAGCCCCACGACCGACAAAAAAAATAATAATTACAGGTATTAACATGTAAATTTTAAAAATGTTTGTTTTACTATTTTAAAAGCCACTACAACCTGGCACTGGCGGCTCATGCCTGTAATCTTAGCTGCTCAGGACACTGAGATCTGAGGATTGTGGTTTGAAGCCAGCCCAGGCAGGAAAGTCCTTGAGACTCTAACCACAAGAAGCTGGAAGTGAAGCTGTGGCTCAAATGGTAGAGTGCGCTAACCTTGAGCAGAAAAGCTCAGGGACAGAGCCCAGGCCCTGAGTTCAAGCACCACAACAGACAAAAAAACCAAAAGCCACTGCCTTCTCTACAACTTCTCCAGGTATACTGCTTTTCCACCCAGTAGTAAATGAAAACTAGCCACTAATATTTAAGAAGCCTTAAGTCTCCCATAGTGAAAGTTAAAATAATACCTACCTTGCTGGGCACCAGTGGCTCACATCTGTAATCCTAGTTACTCAGGAGGCTGAGATCTGAGGATCATGGTTCAAAGCCAGCCTGGGTAGTAAAGTCCATAAGACATCTCTAGTTAACCACCAGAAAATAGGAAGTGGTGCTTTGGCTCAAGTGATAGAACACTAACCTTGAGCTGAAGAGAGGAGGGACAATGCCCAGGCCCAGAGTTCAAGTCCCATGATTTAATAATAATGATAATGATAATACCTACCTTAGAGAGTTGGCATTCTTTTTAGTTTTATGTTTTTGAGAAACAGGGAAGAAGCATTGTCCTCAGGCACTGTCCCCAAGCTTCTTTTTGCTCAGGGATAGCATTTTACTACTTGAGCCACAGCTCTGCTTCTGGGTTTTCTGTTTATGTGATGCTGAGGTATCAAACCTGGGGCATTATGCATGCCAGGCAAGCACTCTACCATTGAGCCACACTCCTAGCCCTCCTGTCCCAGACATTTTTTTGTTGTCACTGTTGTTGGTTGTGGGGCTTGAACTCTGGGCCTGGGCACTGTCCCTCAGCTCTTCAACTCAAAGTTAGCGATCTACCACTTGAGTCACAGCACCACTTCTGGCGTTTTCTGCTTATATGGTGCTGAGGAATCGAACCCAGGGCCTCATGCATGCAAGGCAAGCGCTCTACCACTGAGCCACCTTCCTAGCCCCAGAGCATATCATTTTTCCTAAAGTTTTTTTTTTTTTTTTTTTTTTGTTGTCGTGGGGCTTGAACTCTGGGCCTGGGCGCTGTCCCTCAGCTCTTCAGCTCAAGGCTAGCGCTCTACCGCTTGAGCTACAGCGCCACTGCCGGTTTTCTGGTGGTTTGTTGGAGATAGGAGTCTCAGGGTCTCTCCTGCCCGGGCTGGCTTTGAACCGCGATCCTCAGATCTCAGCCTCCTGAGTAGCTAGGATTACAGGCATGAGCCACCAGCACCCGGCTTTCCTAAAGTTTTTTAATGTTAGGTTTTTATTTTTTATTTTTTTGGGGGTCCGGTCGTGGGGCTTGAACTCTGGGCCTGGGCACTGTCCCTCAGCTCTTCAGCTCAAGGCTAGCGCTCTACCACTTGAGCCACAGCGCCACTTCCGGCTTTTTTCTTTTTGCTTATGTGGTGCTGAGGAATCGAACCCAGGGCCTCAGGCATGCAAGGCAAGCGCTCTACCACTGAGCCACTTTCCCAGCCCTTAATGTTAGGTTTTTAAAAAGAGGTAGCCGAGTAAGAACAGCACCACGCACGTGGTATTCAGGTAAGGGGTAGGTTTATTCATCGTTCTGGCTGGCACCAGGCCATCTTGGTCCTCCACGTGGTGGGGAAAGGCCTGGGAAAGAGCTGGGAGAGCTGGGAAAGAGAGAAAGCTGGGAAAGAGAGAAGAGCTAGAAAAGAACAGAGAGAGAGCAGGGAGCAGAGAGAGCTAGAAAAGAGCAGAGAGAGAGAGCTAGAAAAGAGAGAAAATGCTAGAAAAGAGAAGAGCTAGAGAAGAGCAGAGAGAGAGAGGAGAGAGAAGGGAGCTGAGAAAGAGCTAGAAAAGCAGAGAGAGCAGAGCATATCATTTTTATGCTGAGATGTTTAAAAGATAAGGATGTCTTCTGGTACTTTATGACTTCATTTATAGAGGAGCTGACCTCTATAAGTCTTCCAAGTGTGAAAAACAATCAATGTGCTGGCTCACTTCAGTGGTCATAGGGTAATGCTTTTGCGTTTGTGCACTTAAACTTCTGGAGGGAGGGACTTAAAGCTGGAAAATAGGCTTTCTTGCGTGCGTGTGTGTGTGTGTGTGTGTGTGTGCGCGCGCGCGCGTGTGTGTGTGTGCGCGCGTGCGCTCGTGTGCCAAACTTGAACTCTGGGCCTGGGTGCTGTCTTTGAGCTTTTTCACTGTGGGCTAGTGCTTTACCACTTAATCCACAGCTCCACTTATGGCTTTTTTGATGGTTAATTGAAGGAGTCTCACAAGCCGGGTGCTGGTGGCTTACACCTCTAATCCAAGCTGCTCAGAAGGCTGAGATCTGAGAATCACAGTTCAAAGCCAAGTCCGAGCAGGAAAGTCTATGAGACTTTTTTTTTTTTTTTTTTAGTCAAGGTGAGCTACCTACCTCTTGAGCCACAGCGCCACTTTCGTTTTTTTTCTAGTGGTTTATTGGAGTTTAGTGGAGTTTCATGGACTTTCCTGCCCGGCTGGCTTTGAACTGTGATCCTCAGATCTCAGCCTCCTGAGTAGCTAGGATTACAGGTGTGAGCCACCGGCACCCGGCTTGTGAGACTCTTATCTCCAATTAACCACCAAAAACCCAAAAGTGGCACTGTGGCTCAAGTGGTAGAGCACTTGCTTTGAGCTAAAGAGCTAGGGACAGTGCCCAGGCCCAGAGTTCAAGCCCTGCAACAAAACAATAAAAGAAGAAAAAAAAGTAGAGAGTCTTACAGACTTTCCTACCTGGTCTGGCTTTGAATTACAGTCCTCGGATATTCTGTTTCCTGAGTTAGCTAGGATTACAGGTGTGAGCACTGGTGTCTGGCTAAAACAGGCAATTCTATAGCTCAGTTATAGGACAGTTAGTAAAACCAGTTACTAGAAAAGCACTGTCAGGGAATTGGGGCCTATAGAACTTGTACACAGCAAGATAAGCTGATAAGCCAGTACTTTACAATGAAATGGGGCAGGAAGACTACAAAAGGAGAGAAAGACAAGAGAATGAGAAAATAAGGACAGAGCACTAAATCTTTGATCTTTAGGGTCTCAAACAGGAAACAGGAAGGAGATTCATCAATCAGAAGGCCGTCTTCAAGGACTCCCAATT